CCTTGACTATAATGTATTAAAGGCACACAGTACCAATTTCATTCCTTCAACCCTGTTACTTTGGGTGTTATTGGCCATCATTAATAATGAGTGATCAAAAGCTGGTGCTATTTGAAAGTCAATCTCAGTTTACTAACTTACTGTCTTGTACTGTTAGTCACATAGGGAATATGAAGTAGCTAGGCTTTAATCGATGTGAATCTCTAGTTTCTGGAGCTTTGGAAAAGGTTCTGGTCTTACAAAGTAATTAATGTGAGCTGCAAATAGGAAAGGTCAAATTTGACTTTGAATCCCTAGTTGAAAGACAGATACTTAAAACTGCATTCTCCATCACACATGCGAAGATTTTCGGCAGCTGAGCAGAAGATACTGAAAGACCACTCAAGGTGAGAGTCAGAGTCGTAGTTTTGCTGGGTAAGATCTCAGGTTGACAATCTGTGACTAAGACTTACTTCTCTGTGATAAGTAACGAGAACGATAAAGAAAAACATAGATGATTTGTGCTGACCAGACACCTAAAGATTTAAGGATCAGATCAAACTTGATACACACAGAACGGGTCCCATTTCCTTAGCTATACTAATCAACGTTCTTACCAGATTCTAACAATTTGTAGTTTATTTGTAATATCTAACAATTTGTAGATATCATATTAAACTGTACATGCTTATTCATAAAATTAACCTTCCTATCACATCACAGGAATTCCACTTTCATCTTTTTTTTTTGCAAATTAATGTATTTATCATTTTATTTTTAAAATTATGTTGATTTACAACAGTATATAAATTTCAGGGGAATAGGTTGTGAATGTACGTTTTCAGATCATATCTACCACCAAAGCACCAAACATTTTCCTCCATAGTCCACTAAACTCCTCTCTGGTTTGAGCACACACATGCCTCCTTTTCTGCTAGCCTCAGTTTTGCTGTGAGAGTTTAATGGTTTGTTTGGGTTTATTTTTATCTGTTACTTTGCTCAGCTTTTTTTGTATCCCACATGAGTCACTTATTTTGCTCAATATAATCACCTCCACGTCCATCCATGTTGTCATAAATGGCAAGATTTCCATCTTTAAAGTCGTGTCATATTCCATTGTATATATATTCCACATCTTAATCTACTCATCTGACATTGAAACTCAGGTTTTTTTTTTTTTTAAGATTTATTTATGAATACAGAAATGGGGTACAGGCCAGAGGGGCAGGGGTGGTAAGAGGATTCACTAGAGACAGAGTGGGGAGCAGAACAGGTAAATTGATGAAGTACACTGCTGAGGGGTACACATGCAGGCTGGTCAGGAGAGGTCTGCCACACATGTGGGTCACCTCCCTGGCTGGGGACTGAATTTGTGAAGTGACCCTATCTAGCTTCGCAGTGCTGTGCTCTAACCCGTTGTGCCACCAGTGGGAAGGCCCAAACTCAGTTTTTTGTTTTTTTTTTTTAAAGATTTATTTATTTATTTACACAGAACTGGGGTACAGGCCAGAGATGCGGAGGGTGAGAGGATTCACCAGGGACAGAGTGGGGAGCAGAACAGGCAGATCGACGAAGAACACTGCTGAGGGGAGCAGCGGGCGGGTCAGGAGAGGTCTGCCGCGCCATGTGGGCACCTCCGGGGCAGGCGGGAATCGAACTCATGAGGAAGTGGCTTTAGCTTCTCAGTGCAGTGCTTTAACCCGCTGCGCCACCAGGGAGGGCCCCAAACTCAGCTTTTAAAAAACTAATATAGGGGCCTTCCTGGTGGCCTAGGCATTACGTCTCAGTGGTATCACTGCTACAGCCTGAGTTTTATCCCTGGCTAGGGAGCTAACCACATAAGGCACAGCAGAATCTCTCCTGTCTTGCTTTCTTCTCCCCTTAGCAGTGTATTTCAGTAAATTTGTCTGTTCTGCTCCCCACTCTGTCTTTGGTGAATCCTCTCACTACATGACTCTCTGACCTAGGCCCCAGTTCCTCTATCCAAAATAATAATAATAATAATAATAATAATGAAGATTTAAAAAAATAAAATAAAATAAAGAGCTTCTGTAAGTGCTGTTACATAGAAATATCTGGATTGGATGAATCCTACTTGACTATTTTGAATCACAATTGTGGTACCAAAAGAAGCTGTGTTAATAATTGTTTATATATATATATTTATATATAATTTATATATAAACAACAGAAAATCCCCCAAATCAGCAGTTTAAACAAGATGGGAGTTTATTTTCTTTTTATATCATCTGAACAATCCAGATCTGGTATATCTACCAAGAACCCAAGATCCTTCTATCTTATATCCAAATTCAATATGAAGTTCTCAGTAGCTAGTAGGACAAAGATAAAGCTCTTGCTCCAGCTATCATGTCTCTATATTCCAGTTAAGAGGAAAATAAAGTAAATATATTACCCTTCTCTTTATACAAAAACATCTTAGTCAGGACTTAGTCATAACCAGATAAGAGTGAAGATTTAATTTTATTCCTCTTTCTAGGTGACTATAGTCAGACAAAAATCAGAAATTTCATCATGATGGAAGAGGAGAAAATGGCAATTTGGAGTCAATAGTTTGTTGCAATAGCTATTAACTCTCCACACTTTGTACACACTTAGCCTAATAAAGTAATTCTCTGTTTGGATTTAGCAGCAACATTTATTGAGAGCATATTATGTGCCAAGTAATTAAATCCTTTTAAGAGAGTGTGATGGGCTGAATGCATCTTCTACATATATTATGTTGAAGTTCTAAACCCAGGATCTCAGAATGTGACCTTATTTGGAAATTAGGGTTTTTGCAGGTATGGTTTAGATGAAGTCATTAGGGTGGCTTGAATACAATATAGTGATGTTTGTATAAAAAAGGGAAGTTGGACACAGACAAACATGTCCAGATTGTATGTTATGTGAAGAAATACAGAGAGAATGCCATGAGCAGATGGAAATAATGATGCAACTATAAACCAAAAACCACCAAAAGCTAAGACACCAAAAGCGAAGAGGGGGCTTGAAAAGATTCCTCTCTATAGAATCTTTATAGAATCTCCTCTATAGAAACATGGTCCTGATAATACCTTGATTTTGGACTAGAGGCCCCCAAACAGATTTATTCCTATTTTTAATCACATAGCTTATGCTGTTACAGACACCATAGGAAACTAATGATTTAATTCCAACAATTACTGCTTTTTAAAAAGACCTGTCATCCTTCCCTTTTTCAAATAAAATTAAATCTCACCGGTTCTCCCTGGTGGCGCAGTGGGTTAAAGCACAGCACTAAGAAGCTAAAGCTGCTTCTGCATGAGTTTGATTCCCGCCTGCCCGGAGGAGATCCACATGGTGAGGCAGACCTCTCCTGACCCGCCTGCTGCTCCACTCAGCAGTGTACTTCGTTGATCTGCCTGTTCTGCTCCCCACTCTGTCTCTGGTGAAGCCTCTCAGTGCCCCTGCAGCCTGTACCCCAGTTCTGTATGCATGAATAAATAAATCTTTAAAAATATTAAATCTCAAAAAGTTAATTAATTTGCTAGGATACTTTAGCTATGAATCAAATCTAGGTTTTCCTGATTTCAGAGCCTGTTCTCCTAATTTGCTATACTAATGCACCAAGTCTATGGTATTTATGTTTATTCCTTCTCAGCCTGAACACTACAGAAAATTGTGAAGTACTATGCAAATATTTGGTGGTTTTATTATCTCTCCCAGCTGCCTTTGCAGCATAATTTTGTAACTTAATCAACCAAAAAAGTGATGCTATTCATAATTAAACTGAATGAAAACCTCACAGTAGTACTGTCTTGGGCAAACCAGAACTTACAGTAGTACTGATTTTAATACATTCCTTGGTACCCCACCCCCATGACTCCTAACCAAATATAGGTAAATTAAAATACAATATATAAATAGAAAAGATACACTTCAACTTCAAGATATAGTCATCCCTTAGATGACTCCAGGGACGAAGGAAAAGGAATGGGGACAGGTAAAGAGGTTCCAATTGTGCAAAAGTTTTACTTTTGCAACTTGAAGGAAATAATACAAAATGTTAACATTTGTTAATTTGATAGAGAACATATAGTTTTTTTTGAGTTTGCTTTAGTTTTTCCACGTTTTAAAAATGGTTTAGTATTTCTCAACTTTAAATGTCTATGAAAAAGCTCTTTTATTATTTGATAATGATTTATATGTTTCTTACTGTCCCTAAAACTTCTCCATATATTCTGTATCTTTGTGATTGGATATACTCAGGCCTTCAGTTTCCTTATCTGTAATACAAGAAGGAGGAACATGATCTTTTGAGAATCTCTGTAGATCAGGTAAACGAGGTACCATCTCTTTCCAGTCCTAAACTTCTCAAAGTTCATTAGCTGTATCCGTGATCAATTCATTTTCCTTTACTCATCTTGAAGTGATCTTTTTTGAAAAGTCATCAAAAAATATTTGACCAGAGCATGCTCAATAATTATGTCTGCTAAAATCCTAGAGACTATTCCGTTGTTTATTTCCATTTAAAGCAAAAATTCTAAATTTTCATGTCAGCTCTGTCACAGAAGAGATGGAGATAAGAGGAGAAAGAGGTGATAGAAGAAAAGTTGCCCCTCAGTGGCAGTGGTGCTACAGCGCCCTTACCGGGGCAGCAAACTCCAATAGCGATTAATTTGGTAATGAACTAAAAATAAGGCGTCCAAACTGTACAATCTGGCATTGGCAGTGAGGAAAGAACAAACTGTACTTTGCATCTGGGGGCGGGTGAAAAAAAAAAGGCGGGGTGAGGGGTGAGATGGCTGCTCACATCAGTGATATCCTGTAACATCTTCTCTTTAGAAGGAAGGTACATTGGGCTGGGGGGGGGAGGGGGACCGCCCTAGGCTCCCGCCACCGAGAGAGCTCACCGCCGCAGTCAGTGAGGTCCGCGAGCAGAAGCGCTGCCTCCCATCATCGCGGCGTGCGGACCCCGGACGTGCGAGGTTGCGGAGGAGGCACGTCGGGTTAAAGCTAGGGTCCAGGCTCGGGGACCTTCGGTCTGCTCAGGACCCGGCTGCAGTCATGGACCGGGAGCAGCTGCCAGATACTTCCCCACAGGTAAAACTGGCAATGAGCAGGGTCTGAAGTCTGGTCGGGTCAAGTTCATTAACACCCTGCAAGAGAGGGCGGCTTCCTTCCCAGGGTTTTTGATTTAGTGCCCAGAAAGTTCCCCTGGAGATATATATATATATTCTTCTCCCTTGACCCAACCTCTTTTGGGCTGTGGGAGTGCGGCACAAGCACCAATATTAATTTCACAGAAATCATCACCTCTTTGACTAAATAACAGATCTTGTACTCAGATTCCGCGCAGCAGTCCCAGAACTTGGGGCATCTGTCATTAAACAATTTAGGAAGGAGTTTACAAAGCTCTGTTGATGTACTAGCACTGATTGTTACTCTTTATTATCCTCATTATTTTCTTATAGTTGTTGATATTATTTATTATTCTAATATCTTGATCGTATCCTACATTGCATATTTATCTGACATGTTTCTAATTTCTTGAGCTAGCAGATATTTAATTGCCATTTTATGTATTGAAATAGAGCTATCTAGATGACAGAGAAAACCTCGTTTCTGAACATAAACGTAAAGGGAAAGCTTGTCTTCAGTTTGCTGCTGTTTTTAATGTTGTCAACTCCATTATAGGATCTGGGATAATAGGTAAGTGTTTTGTTTGCTTGTTTGTTTTCACTGAGGTTTACAACACTGTTCATGTTTCAGAAGTACAGTTTCACACTTTTCGGTACCACACCTATCACTAAAGTATGAATGACCTGCCACTAGCACCCCGAGAGCCCCCTCAAACCTTTGCTCCCACTTCTTACTCCCTTGCCCTCTAGTAATCACACTGTCCAGTTTCAGTTTAAAATAAAAGGCCAAATTCAAGATTCTTGTTAATGTGTAAGATGCTTGCTAGTGTTCATCAATTATTTTTAAAGGAAAAGTTCTTAAATGATAACATTGGTAGTCTTCTTCCAGAAGAACCTTCCTTCCCCCCATTTTAGCAATGTGTATCACATAGCCTCCTATGCAAAGAATGGGGTTGTGATTCACTCTTCTATATTGAAACATGCTCACATGCCCAAGATTAAGGACTTGCACAGGAAGATGCTGCATTTTGTTTCCAAAAGCCACAGGAGCAGTTGATAGTGTTACCTAATTTACTTTTTTTCCTCTATCTAAAATACCCATCATTATTTGAATCACCTTCTGTGACTTTCAAGGAGTCATAGGTATTTGGAAATAAGGGAGGTACAAAAGTTTATTGTGAAAACACTAACATTTAATGTGAAAACATAACCAACTTTGCAAATTTATTTTCATACACTATTTCCTTCATCCATTGACATAGTGTTAAAATGTGAACTTTGTTAACTATTATGATGTAATTATTTTGACTATCATATGAGCAATAGAGATTTGTTAAATTTTTTTTTGACAAAAGAACTAAAAAATGGAATGAAAATAAGCAGCTCATATTTTCCCAGTTTTCTTAGGAGAAAATTCTGCAATAAAAGTATATTATTATATTAATAGAGTTATTTATTTAGTGTTTATCATTTGTGTTGTTATCTGAAAATGAAAAATTTAAGAAAAGTCCTGCAAATTGCAACATTCATTGAGAACATGACTTTTTCCTGTAGAGTGTTGACATTTTAGTCACAGTTAAATTGTCTTAAGTTGTGACCATCATTGAAGCTTTATCTGGGTTGATTTTTTTTTTAAACTTATCACAAGTTGATCTATTTTTATTTTACTTACTTTTTGTACATCAACAATTTTTCTTTCAAGAGGTACATAAAATGGAGGTACCTGAGCTGAAGCAGAAGCAAGCAGGGAAAAGGCTTGTGTGAAATTCTCTTTTCACACACCTCTGAGATGTTGGTGACTCTACATGGCAGAATTCCAGAGTTAATTCCTCATGTGAACCCTTTAAGCTGATCTATGTCAGCAGCACTAACAAGCACCTTTTGATTATGCTCAACAGATTTTTTAAAGAAGAATTTTTCAGAGAATGAAAATTCTGGGTGGAAATGTTTTGAGTATATATTTACAAAAATATATTATTGTAAATTTGCCCCAAGGTTCCTGAGAAATAATTTCATAGACCTTTTTATAAAAACAATTTTTCCTCATTTTTGTTTATCTTTACCCTACCTGCCTGACCCATTTGGCTCCAGGGTCCATCTTTTTTTAATCCCATAAATTTTCTATGCTTTTATTATCTTCTCTGCTTTCCCAACATAAGAAAAGTTTTAGATCTTTTTTTACATGTATTCAAGGTTATATATCTGATCTCCCCTGAAGTGAACATTTGTGTAAACTGGCATCTATTTTTATTTGCCATTTTTTACTCTTACTCATCTCAGAAGCTTGCTCTGTTGGCATGCCTGCAATTTACAGAATTTTATTCTGAAATAAGTATTAATCTACCAACATTTTGTTTTAGTGGTTATGCACAGTTTACAACTACCATATAAATGTGTAAATTTACTTCAGTTACTACATATAGTTATTTCAGAAAAATTTCTGGAATTCTATATACCTTATTAATGTGCTGGGTGGATATTTTGTTTTTTCCAGGATTGCCTTATTCAATGAAGCAAGCTGGCTTTCCTCTGGGAATATTGCTTTTATTCTGGGTTTCATATGTGACAGGTACAATGCTATATAATTGTTTAATCCAGCAACTTAAATTGTAGGCACCATTTTACACACACACCCTGCAATTGAATATCCTGATTAAAAAATGCATCAAAGAATCCAAAAGAATTTAGATACTTATGTCTGAGGAGATTTACTTTACTTGCTAATCCTTTGAACAGATTAGGAAAAGTACAAAAGCATTATATATTACCCAGCCTAAATCCTTTTCATGTGCCTTTTTCACATTTTGCATAGATGGTAGATGGGGAAGTCATTTTGAAGGCTCAGTACATCTGAGCAAGACTGTGCTTTCAAAGTGAACACATCAGGGCATCCTTCCCCACAAAAACTTGGGGCCAATGCACACCACGTGCAAGCTCTTTCATCTCTGTTTGTGCAGGTGGAACTGAAAGCCTTGGTGCTGGGCCAGCAGGGTGTGCTCAGTCACACCCTCCCTACCTTACCCAGGCTTGCCCCATGTACCAGGGTGTCACTATTTTAAAAGGCAGCACTAAGGTGCTTCTCTGCTACCTTTCTTCTGCTTACCCATCTTCATGTAACATGTTCACTTACTTAATAACCCACATCTTGTCACTCCCCTACCTAAATGCGGGCTTTACAATTCATAATCATCTCCTCTTCCTGTTGTGCTCATCTCTCCCCTGACATCTCATCTACTCACCTAGTACATATGCAGGATATTTAAGATCAACGTAAGAGGCAGCCATCATAAAATCATAAAAACACACCACCTGCAATGGCTGCTGCTCTTGCGGCCTCCATGTGATAACCTTGTCCAACTACTGCAAAATAGCTCAACTGCCCCCTATTCTGTAGTATTCACCTGGCTGTCAGGGAGCTGCCTTCCTGGTGAGGTTATGACCCCCAACTACCATTTCCCTCAGCTTTCGGCCAATGACTGAATGATAGAAACCCCAGTGAAGTGGCCTCCTTGCCTCCAGGAGGGAGTAGTGCGAAATAGAGTTGAGCAACAAAGCTCCGCCACTGTAGGGCTAGGCCACAGCTGATCTCCACTTGAAGCCACATCCACACTGAACTGTTTCTCCTGCTCTTTCAATGCGTCATGCCCCTTTTCCTGAGACCACTCCCTAGGTAAATCACTTGTCCAAAAATCTATGTCAGCTCTGTCTCTGGAGACTCTAAGATAGCATCCCTTATAAAATCTTTAGCTTCCAAGACCAGCCATTAATTTACTCTTTTACCTCAGCATGTAGAAGAAATAGCAAAGCTTGCAGTAGACACCAAGGAAGAACTACAGAGCTAGGGGACTCCCTTCCTCCCTGATATCTTACCACCTCCACTCCCCAAACTTAAGCTCCTTCTAGCTTCTACAGCTCTCAATTCATAGCTTAACACTGAAAACTTAGTCATTTGGGTGTCTCAGAGTTTTGTGCTTATTCAGAATTGCTGCTGTTTAAAAATTGCATACTATTCATGAGAGCATTTACCACATTAAAATTCCCAGTCAGAGATTTACTCTTGTCATTTTTAATTTCCTGTTTCCCTGTCACTCGGGACTGACAATTAATTTGCTTAATATCCTAGGCTTAGTAGCCATGGTTTATTTGAGTGTGTTGTGAACATTTACAAACATTGTAAAACAATAGAGGAAAACATTTGCACTTCCTCTGATGTTTGTTATCATACCACACCCACCGTGGTCATTAATCCATACCATCTGGTCTCTTTTCCCCCTTTCTTTCCACCTTCCTTTGACTCCCCTTCCAGAAGCTTCCATTCTACAGTCATATTTCTAGGGTTTGTTTCAGCTTAACTTTTTAGTTCCTGTTTTATTAGCTATATTCTACATATAAGAGAATCGCCTAAAACTTGTCTTACTTCTTCTGACTTACTTCACTTAGCATTATCCCTTCCATATCTAGCCATGCTGTGGTAAATGGCAAGATTTAATTTTTTTTTAATAACTGGTTTGTATTTCATGGCATATATGCCCCATATTTTCCTAATCTACTCCTCTGTTATTGGGTGCTTATTTCCATAATGTGGATATTGTCAGCAGTCCTGCAGTTAGCCTAGGAGCATATATATCTGTTCAAATTATTATTTTTCATTTTTCTTATAAATACCTAGCAGCAGAAGTCCAGGGTCTTTAGTAGATCATTTTTTAGTATTTTGAGAAGAAGCCTCTATACTGTTTTTATAGGGATTTGACCAGTCTATATTCTTATCTATCAAATAATTGTGTGATTTTTCTTTTTTGGTTTATTAATATGGTATATCATACTGACTGGTTTTTCTAATATTACTACTAGGCCACAAAATTTTTGCTTTTGTTTTTGTTGCCATTGGAGTTGAGTTCCCAAAGACATCACTAAGGCCACTATCTCAGTGTTTTGCCTGTATTTTCTCTCATATATTTTATGGTTTTAGGTCTTACATCCAGGTCTTTATATTAATATTTGTATATAGTGTGAGAGTGGTCTAGTTTCTTTTTTCTAGGGCCTTTTTTCTGCACACCATCTCTAACATTTGTTGTTTCTGGTTTTTTTGTTGTTGTTGTTCGTTTGTTTTTGTTTTTTCAATATGAACCAATAGAACCACGAGTCAATCACATGGAAATAAGGTGGTATCTCATTGTGGTTTTGATTGTCACCGTACAGGTCCCTGGTGATGAGTGATATTAAACATATTTTCATGTGCCTGTTGGACATCTGTATGTTTTCTGCCCATATGTTGATTGGGTGATTTAGGTTTGTTATTATTGTTGTTAAGTTGTATGAATACTTAAACATTAACTCCTTTTTGGATGTATGATTGCAAATATTTTCTCCTATTCAGTTGTATGGCTTTTTGTTTTGATTAGGATTTCTTTTGTTATACAGAAGCCTTTTAGTTTGATATAGTCCCATTTGTCTTTTGTTTTTTGTTTTTTTTTTTGGCTTTTGTTCTCCTTGCCTCTGGAGCTGAGTTCCCAAAGACATCACTGAATCCAATATCTCAGTGTTGTGGCTATATTTTCTTTCATATATTTTAAGGTTTTAGGTCTTCCATCCAGGTCTTTATGTTAATGTTTGTACATAGTGTGAGAGTGCTTATTTTATTTTTCTGTATGTGGGTGTCCAGTTTTCCCAGCACCATTTGTTGAAGAGACTTTTCTTTTGTCCATTGTATATGCTTGTCTCTTGTCCAGTTTAACTGTCCATATAAATGTCTCTTTATGTCCTTGCTCTAAATTCTGTTCTATTAATCTTTATACCTATTTTTTATTTCAATACCATAGTTTTTAGTTACTATTTCCTTGTAGTGTAGTTTGAAGCATGGAAACATGATACCTCCATTCCTTTTTCCTCTTCTTTTTTGTTTTAATTCATTGATTTCATGTAAATTTAAGTAATGTTTGCTTTATTTCTTTAAAAAATTCCATTTGACTTTTATAAGGATTGCAGTGAACTTATATATTGTTTTGGGTAGTCTGGGCATCTTAATAATGTTGGTTCTTCCAAAGGATGAGTATGAAATCTTGTCAATTTTTTTTTTGTATGTGTGTCTTCTACTTCTTTTAAAAATGTCTTACAGTTTTCATTAACTAGGCCTTTCATCTTCTTTGTTAGGTTTATTCCTTGATACTTAATACTTTTTGATGCTACTGTAAATGGGATTTATTTTTATATCTTTCTCATCTAGTTCATTATTTGCATATAGGAAAGCAACATACTTTGAATGTTTATTTTTAACTTGTCATTTTAGTATACCTTTATATTGTTCATAATAGTTTTTAGTGGTGTCTTCAGGATTTTCTAGGTTTTCTGTGTATACTGTCCTATATTCTGCAAATAACAATCATCTTACTTCTTCTTTTCCAATTTGAATTCCTTTTATATCTTTGTCTTGCCTAAAAGTAATATCATGTTTGAACTTTCATAGAGCTCTGATCATACTCATCCCAAAAATAAAGTTCTTCACTAGATATCACATCTGTGAAACTGGTTTCCTCTTCTCTGTTACTCAAGTCCCCTCTGATTTTCTCCTTGATAAATAGGTTGCTTTACAATTTTTCTCTCTTTTGCATCTGCAAACTTTTCGCAGCCCTCCATAATGCTGTAGCAGTTATCATTATAAAACCTTAGCCTGATCTCCATTACACCCCACTCACAATCAAAATATGATGCTTTGAGACTAGTCTGCATGCCCTCTTCTGACCAATTAATTAAATGGATATCTTTAAGTAAATTTGCATCCCAATAAAAAAATATACACCTAGAAAGTAGCATCTCACAAAAGGTTGTGTTTTATAAACAGAAAGTAAACCTGATAGTGATAATTGTTTTGGAATATATTTAACTCTTCACTAAAATTTCCCTTTTTCTGAATGATAGTTAAATCAAGGCGTATTTTAAAAAACTGTATTAAAGGTTGTCTGACATTTACATAATTACTATTTTTGCTACAGACTTTTCCCTGGTTTTATTGATAAAAGGAGGAGCACTTTCTGGAACAGACACTTACCAGTCTTTGGTTAATAAAACCTTTGGTTTTCCAGGGTATCTCCTCCTCTCTGTTCTACAGTTTTTGTATCCTTTTATAGGTAAGATAAATATGAAAAAGAATAATGTAATATTTGTATAGTCATTTCTGAATAAAACAGTTCTTTCGTTAATAGTGAAAGGATACAGTAGTTGAAATATTTTCCAAATTGTTTACTTCCTTAGCCATTTTCCCCTTCTTTTGGGGGGTCTTTCTGGTTGATTTTCTGAATATTTCACTGAAATAAGTTAAGGCTAATTTTCTTTAAGGTAATGCTGTGTTTCCCTAATTTGGTGATAAACAGGCTAATATCAAAGTAAGAAAAACAATAGTTTACCTAAGACTTGAAATACAATTTTTGAAAACCTGAGAATTTATGAGAACTATGTACAAGGCCAATGTGCTATTTAAAGATTGTGCCACAATGATAAAAATGTCACCTTTTCTTAAATGAGTAAATTGCTAACCTTCATCTTGGCCAAATTGACTTCATTTTACAAATAAGTAAAACAGAAGCTAATTTTCAAGCTACCAGTTCCTTAAGACTACACAGACTTAAAGCTCAGAATATTTTTTAAATGAGGGAATATTTTAAAGCCTTCACAATTTTCTATTATTATTCCTCACTTTGAGCAATATACATGTTACCAAAGAAAAATTTGGTAATGGAATCCTAATAATAAAATATATTGCATTTTAAGTCACTACCAAAATGCTATTATTATAAATATGTTCTAGAAAGAACCAATTTGTGAAGTGAAATCATTTTGTAATGAAAGATTGATATACCACTGTAACGTTGGTTAGTTAATGTAAAAGTTGTACATATTAGTAATCATAATATGTATTTGAAAAATGTATACTTGAAAGTTTACATCTATTGGGAAGTAATAACTGATTACTATAAAATATTCTAGGTCAAATACATGATAACTTGTTGATGACTGTCTTATTTTAACTCTGTTTTTTTAGCTATGATAAGTTACAACATAATAACTGGGGATACTTTGAGTAAAGTTTTCCAAAGAATCCCAGGAGGTAAGTTGAAATATTTATTTTATATAACTATTCATAATTAATGTGGCTTATAGTAATTTATACGTAAAATATTTCCAAGTGGAAGAATCAGATGAATTCAAAATCTGACATCTATGATCCTGAAGAGTGAATCTACCTTTATATGCAATAATGTGCTTACTAAAAATAGGGAATATAATAATAATGTTATTACAATTCTTAGAATGCTTTATCTTTTAAGTATGTTTTAATACAGATAACCAACTTTCTGGTGTCACATTTTTTCATGTACTATTTTTACTTTAACATTTCTTTAATATGCAAGTTGATCTTTTCCCATTATTTACATCAAGGTATAACTGTAACAGTAAAATTAATGCTTTTTAATAATCCTGTGATTTTTGATGCATGCATATAGTCATATACACAATCAAAATAGAGAGGAAATTCCGAATTTTTCCTGCTTCCCTGTATAGTGACGTCCTTCCTGATCTCTAGCACTTGGCAACCACCAGTCTTATTCTCTCCCAAATTTTGCTTTTCCTAGAAGGCCAAATAAATCACACCATACAGTATGTAGTCTTTTGACTGTGGCTTCTTTGACTTAGCAAAGTGTTGGTGAATTTTTCCTTATCTTTGGATCTATCAGTAGTCGTGCATTTATTATCTTTTAAATCCCTTAATTCTGTTTGATCGTATGAATGTACCTCTATTTATCTAGTATAAATTTTGGTTGCTTCCAGCTATGAACTTTCTCAAGCAGACCTTTTCAACACATGTCGCAACCCCACTCTTTGTAGAACCCTTGCTCTTATGGCGGTTTGAATAATTTTGAGATCATGAGTCTTTTTGTTTTGAAGATTGTGTCATCGAAGCCACAAAATATCCATTTATTTGTGACCTAACTAGTTGTTACACTTGAGATTGATGTAAAACATCTTTCCTATTAGTGCTTGAATCACTCATTTGAAAGCCAGATAAGGTAAAATAAAATAAAACCTAGAACTATAAATTGTGCCTATTCCTCACACAGGATATGACTTGACCATTAAATCACAGATGCACTATGTGATAGAGACAGGTTAATTGACCTCTTTGTGTTCCAGATTCTTCATCTCTGCATTATGGATCAGAATACCACCTGCTTCATAGAGTTGTTTTGTAAAACAAAAACAAAAACAAAATAATAAGGAAGTACTTCCCATGTAGAAGGCTTACTCACACTTTTAACTATTAATATTGCCACCCAGAACTCTGCCACTTCTGTCCCAGCCTTCCACCTCCAAGTTATACTTTCTTAAACTAATATCATATGAGTCTATGGAATGCTAAGGGAAAATGAGGTAGACCATGTACTGTATATGCAACATTATCTAAGTTATGTATGTTTCTATTTCCATAAGTAGTTAAGGAGAAGTTGACATATAAAATCAAAAAATTGTTTGTTCGATTTCTTTGATATTTTTCAGTTTTTCAAAAGAGAATGTGTTAATGTAAAAGAGCTCTTTATACCTTTATTTTCTTATATGAGAAGGAATACATATTAAGAAAATATTAGAAAACACAAACAAAATGGAGAAGATAGACATTCTCATAATGTTTTTCTCTTGGAATAGTCATGGAGAGACAATACTTTTAATAATTTCCTTCTTTCCTTCCTTTTGAATTATATTTTTAGAATTTTAAGAATTCAAATATTCACATGAATGATATAATGCTCTACATTTTGTTCTTTAAAGTGCTTCTTCGTGTATTAAGGACACACTTTCATGTCAAATCATAGAGATCTATACTGTTTGCTTTAATAGCAATTCAGTCATCTCTTGTACAAGCACCTACTGTATAGTAGGATACATCATAATTCATTTCAGATAGATACAAGTTGATAAATAAATTTTATTTATTAAAAAATTTTTCAGTAACATGAGTATGTACTTTTTATAAAGATCTCCTAGGTACGGCCAAAATTTCATTTGAAACCACCTTCCTGATTATTAATTTTATAATTATCAAAAATGACCTTTAAGAAATAGGTCAGTTATTGAGAGCACACTTTATTCTTGTCAGTTTCTTTACCATTGTTGAATGTGGCGTTTTATGTTTTATGCTTTTTTTGGATCTCTTTAAAGCACAGTATGCTGCCAAAGTATTTTTAGAAGTAAGTCATCCATAGAAAAGTTGTATATTTCCCCTGAAATACACTATCATTATCTTAAACTGACAAGTGGGCAATTGCATATGTTTTTCTCAGGTAAGCAAGGCATTGCTTCTTGATGGGTCAGAGTAAGGAGAAACACTGGTATAAGAGGTAGCATATTTGATTTTGAAATTTTACAAGAAGTTTACTATTCAACTATATGGCTTAGCAATTCCAGCTCTGGGTACTTATCCAGAAGATATTTATCCAAAGAAAATGAAAACAATTATTTGAAGATAGGCCTTGTTCATATTAGCAAAATTTACAGTAACCAAGATATGAAAACAACCTGTGTCATTCAGCGCATGAATGGATAAAGGAGAGGTGATTTTCATGCACTCACACACACACAGGCATACACACACAGAAATTCTACTGAGCATAAAAAAGCATGAAATCTTAACCAATTTACAACATGAATGGAACTTGAATTATATAAGCAAAATAAGTCAGACAAATACCATGTGATTTCACTTATATATACAATTATAAGACAAACTAACAAAACAAAACATAAATACTGAAAACAGTGTACTGATTGATAGGAGGGAAGTGGGGGGGTGCACACATCTCTTTATAAATAAATATGCCATGGAGATGTATTATACAGCATGGCAAATGTGGTTAGTGGTATTGTACAGTGACTTGAAAGTTGCAAGGGAATAAATCTTAAAGTTAACTGTGTCTTATGGCAAGTGCAGTTACTGTGGTAATCTTTTCAAAACATTGTGTTGTACACGTATAACCAATATAAAACACCAATTAAACCTCAAAATAATTTTTTCTAGTTTCAGTGTTCAGTTTTCTTTTCTATGCTTGTTCAGGTGCATTTTTGTTAGAAGATCATTATAGGTAATAGATGTCATCATTCGCTCATTAGTAGAAAATATTCTTCATACTAATGGAGATACTCACTAATTAGGCTCCTACATGAATTCATAACAGTCTATCTTGGTGTTTTTCTAGACCTTAAAATTTTCCCAGTGAGGAAATATATTTTCTATAAAACATATTAGAAGCATATTTTTGAAAAAATAAATAGAAACAGATTATAAAAATAATTAAATGCAATTTAACTTCACTAAAAATGTATAAATAATGAAGTTCAGGGTTTTGATAACTTGAACTTCCTGTTTTACTGTTTAATTCACAGCTTCATGATGATTGTTTAGTTGAATCTTAGTTAAACAAAAACTTATTATTCATCCTTTTTGTTTGCATGTATGTGTGTTAAACTGCCATTTCAGATTCCAGTCTTGGAACTCAGTTTATAAGCCATATAAAAAAAGTACTTTCATTTTTCAGAATAATCTCTCTTTTTAAATCACATTCACTTTATTTTATCAGGCTTTACACTTTGCACAAATGAAGGCACAAAGACTTACTAGCCCTGACAACCTTTCAAAAATAGAATGACGTGATGATCTCTGAAGGAATCCCAACTGAGCTAAAAAATTTAAGCAGTGGTGTAGTGTCTCCATTTGAAAAGATATGTAGCTCTGAGGGTGAAAACTGATTAGCATGTCTTAAAATATATAAATCCTGCCATGCTTTATTTTATTTTCACCTCTTTCATTTGTGTTTGATACAGAAACACAATATTCTCTCCTTATGAGAGTCAGGAGCCTGACGACACGTCAGGTCAGAGCTGTTCGCAGTGACATTTCCCTGTTCAACGAGTTGCTTCTGTATACTGTTCTTCAAGGAAGCCATTTCTTTCTCACAAAAGGAAAGTAATATAGTGAATACATAGAGAGACCTCAGTCTTGGAAATTTGGTTATGGTTTATTCTCCAAGCCTTTTTAGCACACACAGTTAAAAAACTCAGACAATGCCCTGTCCTTATGTAGCTTTATAAATGAAGCACTTTGAAGGATTGGAACAAAGAGTGCAATTTCTTGTGTTTGGGAAGGATCAATGTTGGTTCTGGTTTGAGTATATTTTAAGGAGACAAAGGAAGGTAGAAGTAGGAAAACTGGCAGGCTATTAAAATCATTTGAATGTAAAATGTTAGAGCATTAATTTAAATGTAGGTTCATGTTTAAATTGTCCAGTACATACATTTTTGTGATTTATTTCTATTTTTCTATGGTTTTATGGAATTAATTGGACTCCTAAAAAAGCCTTTGTAATTTATGTGTTGTTACACAGTTATAATTAAATGTTTGTTATTTATTTATATTACACCTATCTAAACACTTTATAAATTTATTGTATTTTAGTTGATCCTGAAAATTTGTTTATTGGTCGCCACTTCGTTATTTTACTTTCCACGGTTGCCTTTACGCTGCCTTTATCCTTGTACCGAGATATAGCAAAACTTGGAAAGGTAATTTTGGCATTTTAAATAAGCTTAGAAATGCACTTCATTACCTGCATTTGTGACACTACTGTCAATTTGGCCAAGTTCTTCATTACCATATCTATCTTTAACTTCCTGTATTTTACTTCGAACTATACTGAGTAAGCTATGATCAAATCCTTAGCATATGTAGGGGAACTGGTGGTTGATTCATTGACAAGTGTGAACTAAGTATATCATTTCTTTTTCATTTTGGTGTCAAATAGCTTCTTTATGTTTAGAAAATATAAAGAACTGTACTTAATGCAAGATTTACTGGAAACATATTTTATCATTTTTTAATATACACAGGGCAAACAATTTGAAATTAAACTAAGAAGTGAGGATGAATCATTTTTTGGCTTAAAAATTTTGTAAATGACAGTATCTGCCATGCCTATTATCATCCAATGAGTTTATATATCAATGTATTAATTAATTGTTGAATTTGGACAATATTTATAACTCGTATAGCTAAAGACAAATGCTGACCCCTTTCTAATGAAACTAACCAAATATTTACTCAAATCACCACATATGCTCATTTGCATAGATTAGCCTCTATGTGTCTGTATTTTATTTCCTTACACTTAAACAGTGTTTGTTTTTTACCCAAAATATTGTTGGCACTATAGCTATCTGATGCCAAAATTTCAGAAAGAAATTTTTTTTAAAAGAATTATGCATATGATATTTTTACATTCTATTTTTTTAAAAATTCAGCAGTTGATTAAATTTTACTTTTCCCTTTGATGTGTATCCATAGTTATGTCTCTCCTCCCAGGCAGAGCTGAGGATGGAGGTGATATTACAGAGTATTCTGACCATTCCACCTTCCTTCCCTAAGAGTCATTATCACAAAGCATTTTGGTGACTAAAATGATTGAACTGTTTTCTATTTTACATGTTCAATAAGTATTATCTTCTTAGAGGAGAAAAGAGGCATTGATGTAATGAAACCTGGTAATCTATCACATTACTAGTAACCACTTCCCCTCCCCCTCCCCAAATATCCTTTAAAATTGTCACATTGCAAAATCTAGATAAATCTCCCAGTGAGCAAAGCAGAGCAGCTAAGAGCCCTGACCTGCAGTCTGGCTGCTTGCCTTTGAGACCCCCTGCAGTTTCTAGCTATGTGACCTTTGGATGTTACTTAATATCTCTCTCAATAGATCAGAGGAGTTGAATGGAACCTTCTTTCTGCTTAAAAGCTAACAATCCACAAAATAAGGTTAATGACATTCAAGTGAAATGCAAGCAATTTGATATCTTTCTTTTAGAAAAAAGGTCCAAAATGTGCTTATTCATTAAAAATTTTGAAGTAACAACACAAACTTAATGTAATGAATGCATAGAGCACATACACAGGGACCAGATTATATTTTAGCCATTTGAATAGTAGCAGAAGGGAGAGAGGAAGAAGCAAAGAAAATTTAGAAGTGCAGGCCAAAGGGTGAAAACACAAAGGAAAACCAGATTAACCAAGCAGGAGAGCAGAGCAGAAAAAGCAGAGGCACTCCCTAAAATGGGTATGGATGGGTAGGTATTAGGAAGGGTGTTGTGTTGGGAGTGAGGGTTTAAGAAAGACAAGCAATTGTAGATAGAAGAAAAAAACAAAAAAAAGCAAAAACCCACAAGTCAGCAGTAGCACCAAAGAAAGAAAACAATTTACTTTTGTGTTCATAGACTAAAGCCATCTTTTTTGTATTCTACACAGAAATCCATTAAAAACATTTAGTCATTTTACAAGATAGTCATGTGACATTTGTATTTTAAAGGAAAAAAAATCTCAGATGAAATTCTGATAAGAATTTCTATGCCTTAGTTTATCAACACCATTATATAAAAGTTTACTACTAAAGAATTCATGAAAAAAACACATGATAAATAGAAAAAGCTAATATTTTTAATAACAATAATCCCTGCTCTAAACTGACAATATCATTATATCTTCTTTTGTAGATCTCTCTTGTTTCTACAATTTTAACAAGTCTGATTCTTGGGATTGTAATGGCAAGAACAGTTTCATTGAGTCCACATATGTAAGTTTTGTGATATAAACAGTCCCAATGGAATGCTCTAGTGAAACTAGCTAACGTTGATTTTAATTGCAAAATTGGATTCTCATGATCAGTATTTTTTGAGTAAGTGATGTATAATGGCATTTCTGTAAGATTTCACATATTTTCTCTATCTTAAAGAAGACAATATGAGTTAGCTTAAGACATGATGTCTATCACAGTGCGAGGAATATGCTCAGTCTTCACTGAATCTTATTTGTAAAGGACAACAGGAAACCAAGTGGACAGCTGTGTTGATGACGCAGTACCAAGGATACATATTTTTTCCTATTGATTCATTGTTCTGCAAAATCACTTCCCTTGTGATGGTGAGCTACGTTTATGCTAGACTTTTTTTTTTCAGCGTATAAGGGAAATACCAAAAATTATGCCTCACATTCATTTGGAAGAAGTGTGAAATATATGTGTATTTGATATGACATTTTCTTTGGAAAAACAAGATCTACACTATACCTTAAAGAATTTAAATGATAGGGAAAAGAATACATATTTACAATGTTTATATTAAGTTTATCTCCATTAATCCCAGTTCATTATAAGACTACTCACATTTGAGCTTCCAGAACAAAATATGATCTAGGTGGTTTAAGCAATAGAAATTTGTTTCCTTATAGTTCTGCATCTGCCAGTGTGGTCAGGTTCAGGGACCCCTTTCTGACCTGTGTCCTCACTTGGCAGGGAGAGAGGAAGACAGCAAGCCTTCTGGTGTCTCTCTTTATAAGGGCATTAATCCCATCAAGAGTGTCCTGCCCTCATGATCTCACCTAAGCCTAATAATCTCCCAGAAGCTCGGTCTCCAGACACTAGCACATTTGGGGTTAGGGCTTCAGCATATGAATGTCATGGGGGGGAGTGGGAGATAAAATTCAAGCCACTGCAACAGTGTTTTGAAATGTACTTGCCACTTGAATGTGGCCATTTATTTGTCCATTTTGTAAATACTTACTGAATGCCTGTTGTTTCTGACTTTGTGCTGTGTCCGGAGAGAAAAAGAGCCGAGAGATATAAATAAGCACTTGGTCAAAGCTGTTGACAATCTAGTATGGAAAAGAGACTTATTTAATCTAGTATGGAAAAGAGACTTATTTTTACAGTTAAAGAGAAGAAAAATGGAAGACAGTACAGTATGAGAAATGCAAAATAGAAATGGTGGGCAATGACAGTGTGAAAGAAGGGAGTGTTTAATACTCTTTCTGAATCAGGGAGAACTTCCTGGAGGAAGAAAACTAAGATCTGGATGTTTTAAATGATGAATCTTAATTTTTCTACATAAATAGAGGTAGGGTGGGAAAGATAAGCATAAAAGCACAGAAGCCATCTAGCCAATTCCAGTATCATTGGTTTAGCATCTGTTACAGTGGATAGTATTCAGCTCTGGTTTTCAAAAGTTTAATTCACAGCAATGAAATCTAATAAGTGTATTGAACAGAATACAATAAAGAACTTCTTTGGTTCAAACTTTTAGTTGTATAAAACAGACAAGTCTGGAAATTTTAGCACCATTAAATGCAATACTTGTTATTCATCTACCAAGAAGCATCTTCAAAACCACTCCCAGTCCAGAATATAGAATTGACTAGCCAGAAGACCTAGAGAACTGAGATCTAGGAGATGTACTGAGTGGCACAGTCTCTTACCTAGTAAGAGGAGCAGTAATGAGCAGTGATCGTTGTGCAGAAGGCATTGGAAAGAGGAAATCTCTGATGGTGCAGGTGATGGTGATACTGTAACTCCAATTAGGGAATAAGCAGAGGCTGAAGACTGAGGGACTCAGGTAGAAGAGAAACAGCAACTAGATTTGAACAGAAACAATTCTTAGTGTTAGGGAGTTAGAAGTATGTCAGAACTTCAATAAATGACCCTGATAGCTGCCTAGCCTGTAGAATTGTGCTTAATGTTACCAGATAGTAATTAAATTCTATTCCATCTAAGAGATATCAATAGCCATCAACCATGTTTATCACAAAGTGTCATTAACTGAGAAATGGATAGTATGTTTAGGCATGGAGACTTGATGCAGAAGTTCATCTTCTGGTCTGATGACTTTTGCTCTCTCAGACACTGTGGCAATTTATTAATCACATGGCATTCTGTTCCTATGTTTACATGCTTCTTTCTTCCACTTTCCACTTGCCTGGAAGCTCTTAAAGGCAGATTCTTGCTAAGGTTTTATTTTGCGCTAGCACCTATTATACTCCTCAACACAAAATAAAAAGCCAAGAAATTCGTGATGAAGGAATGAAAAAAAAATGAATTCTAGAGAACAGATTATTTGGTTTTAATAAAATTTCTCATAGACTTGGTAAATATAGAATTGTGAGGCAAATATTGAGAGAAAAAAGTTGAAGCTAAGTAAATCAATCATAGCTAAAAGTTGAAGTAAATCAATCATTAATTGAGCTCCAGGAGAACAATTTGCAATTATAATTTTCAAATCTGGCTTCACATTAGAATCACCTGAGTAGCTTTAAATAACTCTGATGCCAGGTCCACACCTGCAAAGATTTTGAAGGAAGCAGTCTAGAAGTTAGGCTTGGTTGTTAAAAGTTGGTGATTCTGTGAACCTTAAGACCTCTTGGCTTAAACAGATTAAAGTTCTGAATGTGCATTTTAAATGACATATTTCTAACATTAGGCCAAGTGTTTTGTATTATTTTATTTTGTATTAATTACGCGGGTGTCATTATTTTTATAATTTATTTTCTACTTATGTTTTTCAGTACTTTTGTATGCAAAATATTATGAGATACTCTTGCATAAGTAAGAGAAATAAAATGCCTCTGCTCTCAAGGGGCACACAATGTAGTGGGAAGATAAGGTAACACAGCCACCATTATGTGGCAGTGTAGCTTGATAAAAAGTGAGAAGGAAAAGAGGCCACTTCAAGGTGGCACTAAATGGATTTTTTAAGCCTGTTTATATCTGTTGTTTAAAAAATATGGCAGGTATCTTTCTGATGTTCCTCTAGTGGTGATATGATATTTTATACGAGTCTTTGAAATCTTCCTAATAACAGGGATTGTTTACTTAACTCTTTCAATATTTAGATGTTAAAGACGTGTGTTTTTTAATACGGCACCGCCTTTTATAGCTGTTTGAATACTTCTGCAAACAACTTCTGTTTGTCCAGATTTACAATTAAGCTAATCAAATCCCATGTGCAGGGCTTGGCATAATAACTAGTCAGATGGGCTTCCTACTGAAATTATGACAGCTATGAATGCTTATAATCCATAAAACATGAGAAATTCAATACTCCATGTGTGTTTTCCCTCATTTTGGGTTCAGATGAATGACCAAAAAGCTGTACTTTTTCCTACAGCTTTTAAAAGATATTTGAAAAAGATCTTTAAATCCACTGTCAGCAAGAGGAAGGTCTGTAATGGCAACTGGTATTGACCTTGTTACTATGGAAACACCTCTTTAGTGGTTGTGTTTTAAAAATAAAACACACAATTCAATTTCCTTTTCCATAACTCATAGGACCATAAATTCTACTTTTTGATATGATTTCAAATATCTCACAGTTCAATGACTTTCAGTTCTTTTTGGAAATAATGTTCAGTTTTATTATATTTTCTAACCTTTTGTGCTTTCTAAAAACTGAAGTGGCAAAGCAATTTAATTGCTTTCCAGAAAGTGTGCTAGTATAAAAACGCAATAACACTTTGCCCACTTACAAAAAACTAGGATCAGAAGCATTATCACTACTATGACTCATTAGTATTCATTTCCTCACAATGGAAGTGACAAGATGCAGTACAAATTTACAAGTATGTATTCTTCATATGAAATTTTTAAAGCATTTTAATCAATAGTGTCATGTTCCAAACATCATTCAGAAAAGTGTGGTTACATTTTCAAATGTGTCTTCTCCAAAAATTGCAATGTTTGTTCTTTGCTTCTTATTCATTATAAAATTAAAATTTTATGATATAATACTTCACAAGAAGAGGAACTAGAGGGCTTTTTTTGACAGAATCAGAAAAACACAAGTAACAGATACAGGGATAGTGCATATTTGTTAAAAAAAAAAAGTAATGATTAGTTCTGTTGAATACAAGCCACTATATTTTATTTATTTTAAAGATTTATTTATTTATTCATACAGAACTGGGGTACAGGCCAGAGATGTGGAGGGTGAGAGGATTCACCAGGGACAGAGTGGGGAGCAGAACAGGCAGATTGACCTGCTGAGAGGAGCAGCGGGCTGGTCAGGAGAGGGCTGCCGCGCCATGTGGATCTCCTCCGGGGCAGGCGGGAATCGAACTCATGCAGAAGTGGCTTAAGCTTCTTAGTTCTGTGCTTTAACCCGCTGCGCCACCAGGGAGGGCCACCACTATATTTTATAATGGTGTAAAAATTATTGTCCTTTTTTGTTGCAAATGACAATCATTGCAGAACCCTAACTGGCTGAAATGAAAGAAAATGCATTTGATTTACCTAACTGTGAGGTTCAAGAACAGTTCTTTTATTGGACTTGCTTGTATTTAGGAAATTAGTCAATGAAGTCAATGAAGTTTGTATTAGGAAATTAGTCTCTCTCTTTTCATCTCTTGACTTTGCTTTCTGTTGGGCTCTAACTATAAAGATTTCCCCCTCATGGTGAAAAGATGGCAGTAGCAGTCCTATCCTATATCCATTAAAGTCCAAGTTCATGAAAAGATAAAGAGCTTTCTCTTTTAAGTTATCTTCAACATCACTTCCAGTAATAGTTCTGATTGACACTAATGAGGATCCATGATGATCCTAAACTCTATCGTCATGGCCTGCATTGCGTTGCTTGTGTTTAGATTGCCTGCCACCCCAGCTAAAGCAATCAGACTGGAAGTGGAGGAAAGGGTATTCCCAAAGGACACTAAACAGATGCCAAGGGAAGAAGGATAACCATTGCCTGGTGCAAATTATAGACGTCCACTTCATGTGAGAAGTTACTGGCAACCTTCAGGAATTTCAAGTAA